ATCATGAACTTTACCAAGTATGGGAGATTTTAGCCAAAAACCTGGAATCCTCTGCCAATAGGCTGAAACTTGGCCACAAGTGGATCCTCCAGCAAGACAATAACCCCAAGCACACATCAAAATCCACAAATATATGATTAATTGACCAAAAAATCAACAGTGACTTTGCTACAAGTGAATTTAGCTCTCAAGTACATGCAAGTAGCGTACATAGTAGGTTACGTATGAGTGAGAAAGATCACAGGTCTATTTGTTTTTTGACCTTGTATTTTGCATAAAATTCATAAAAAAATAAACTAGATCAAATTTCAAAATGTAATTGTGAGAAAAAAATATAACGTTGGTTTAAGATCTCTAGATCATTTAATTGAGACAAAATGTAGGTTTTCAGTAAATGCCAGGTTAACTGATTGCACTTTTAAGACGGTCCCTTAGCCGTGAGTGCATAATATTCCCCCATCGAAACCAATGGAAAGTCACTTTTTAAAAACTGAATGGAATGGTGAAAACAAACGCTGTAGCTGCGTTGCTCTCTGTCATCTGATTATAAATGTATCACTCTATTCATCCTAGCTAGGATATTCTATCAAAGAGGTATTGATGAGCAAACTCTGAATATCAAACCAATATCCAAATTGAAAACAAATTTAAGGCGGTACCAAGCCGTTTTCTTAAATAATTGGTACAATGCCTTGCAAAAGTATGCATCCCCCTTGGCGTTTTTCTTATTTTGTTGCATTACAACCTGCAATTTAAATTGATTTTTATTTGGATTTCATGTAATGGACATACACAAAATAGTCCAAATTGGTGAAGTGAAATGAAAGAAATAACTTGTTAAAAAATTCTAACAAATAAATAACGGAAAAGTGGTGTGTGCATATGTATTTGCTATGATGCCCCTAAATAAGATCTGGTGCAACCAATTACCTTCAGAAGTCACATAATTAGTTAGATTGCACACAGGTGGACTTTATTTAAGTGTCACATGATCTGTCACATGATCTCAGTATATATACATCTGTTCTGAAAGGCCCCAGAGTCTGCAACACCACTAAGCAAGGGGCACCACCAAGCAAGTGGCACAACGAAGACCAAGGAGCTCTCCAAACAGGTCAGGGACAAAGTTGTGGAGAAGTACAGATCAGGGTTGGGTTATAAAAAAAATCCAGAAACTTTGAACATCCCACGGAGCACCATTAAATCCATTATTAGGAAATGGAAAGAATATGGCACCACAACAAACCTGCCAAGAGAGGGCCGCCCACCAAAACTCACGGACCAGGCAAGGAGGCCATTAATCAGAGAGGCCATAGGACCACTTTAAGCCGAACACTCCACAGAGCTGGGCTTTATGGAAGAGTGGCCAGAAAAAAGCCATTGCTTAAAGAAGAAAATAAGCAAACACGTTTGGTGACTCCCCAAACATATGGAAGAAGGTACTCTGGTCAGATGAGACTAAAATTGAGCTTTTTGGCCATCAAGGAAACGCTATGTCTGCCGCAAACCCAACACCTCTCATCACCCTGAGAACACCATCTCCACAGTGAAGCATGGTGGTGGCAGCATCATGCTGTGGGGATGTTTTTCATTGGCAGGGACTGGGAAACTGGTCAGAATTGAAGGAATGATGGATGGCGCTAAATACAGGGAAATTCTTGAGGGAAACCTGTTTCAGTCTTCCAGAGATTTGAGACTGGGACGGAGGTTCACCTTCCAGCAGGACAATGACCCTAAGCATACTGCTAAAGCAACACTCGACTGGTTTAAGGGGAAACATTTAAATGTCTTGGAATGGCCTAGTCAAAGCCCAGACCTCAATCCAATTGAGAATCTGTGGTATGACTTAAAGATTGCTGTACACCAGCGGAACCCACCAACTTGAAGGAGCTTGAGCAGTTTTGCCTTGAAGAATGGGCAGAAATCCCAGTGGCTAGATGTGCCAAGCTTATGGAGACATACCCCAAGAGACTTTTAGCTGTAATTGCTGCAAAAGGTGGCTCTACAAAGTATTGACTTTGGGGGGATGAATAGTTATGCACGCTCAAGCGTTCAGTTTTTTTAGTTTATTTCACAAGAAAAAATATTTTGCATCTTCAAAGTGGTAGGCATGTTGTGTAAATCAAATGATACAAACCCCCCAAAAATCAATTTTAATTCCAGGTTGTAAGGAAACAAAATAGGAAAAATGCCAAGAGGGGTGAATACTTTCGCAAGCCACTGTAGCTAGCTAGCTAATTACTTGTTTGTTGTTAATAAGCAAACTGGTTTTAGTTAGCTAGATATATTAATCATTTTACCAAGACTTCTTATTTGAAGTTAGCCTAGCTACATGGTTAACAATGTAAGCTAAAGCTGACCTCCAAGGTAGTCAGCCACTTATGACTGTCTATTTTGAAAAGATACTGTAGGTCCTTGTTTAGACTTTTAGTGGTTTAATATTTTGTTTGTTAGTTGAGCATTTCAGCAATCAGAATGATCATTCTTATGTGATTGAAATGTAGTATTTCTCCAAGCTGTCACAAATGTTGCTGTTGCTAATCTGTTTTCTCGCCAACCATTAACAAACTATTTGACCATTTGAGAGCAGACATTTACCTCGAAAACCTGCAGTTGCCTATTTGATAAAGACATGTACCTAGGCACCATGCCTGTGTTTAGTCAGTGCCAGTAGAGCTGAAATGTCAGCATTCCTTGAATACGGACTAAGTGTTTAGTATCAGCTTGTAAAGGTTTGCATCATCTTGATAAAAACCACAACACCATTGTTTAGCCATAATAGATAGTTCACTGTAAATTTCATGACATGGTTATCACTTGGCATTCTCAGACTAACGGTATTGGAGTTGTAATAATATAATAATATGTTTGCAGTGCAAGTGGTGTCGTGTATTCGGGTTGCTTTTTAAACCACATACATTGCGTACTTTGAGAAATAACCAGACTCTTCAAAGTCTGCTTTTGTGACTCAGCACCATATACTTATACTCAGCACAAATACATACATCACAGGCCTCAAAAGCAACCCCAGTTGTTTCATCTTGTTGTAATTTACATCAAAGTCAAGCCACAGAGAGAGTTTATGAAACGCCACTCTTTGGAGTCCTGGAAAGCGACTTGATGAAAATTCCAGAGCACAATGATGATCTGTGTTTGGACCCGATTTGGATGTCTGTCTTACTTGGAATTCCAATTAGGCCCACCCGTCATGGTTTTAAAATAATGTTGCGCCGCCTGCCAAGGATTGTGTATTCCCAATCTGACTCTTGTGTTTGTCATCTTTGTTTATATGAAAATCTCCCGCCCCAGTGTTGGAAATATGTTCCCCTTGTTTAAAATGCCTTTGGGTTTCCAAGCCCAAGGTAAACAATGCTTGTTAACCCTAAGGTCGATGTCCTCGCCCACCTGGAAATATGATTAGCATAATAAAAACATTACCTTAAAAATCCTTCAGTTTAAGCTAGAGATATGTTTTTTTTGCATTGGATGCGTCTCAATCCACTGCATCTGCCTATGTAACACTTCGGCATTTGCGGTGACAGCACTAGAGCGGTGTTTGTCAGACCATGAGACATCCCAAAAATCGGTCTTCTCACAAAACCGTCTGTAGCGTCCGAACGGTTTGGTCTACAAACTATGACCCCTCTATGGAAAGATGACTCTCACGAACACAATAGTGTTCTCCGTTTTGCTCTACGACCCCCACAAGCATCTTGGGACCCGTCTGAAGTAGGTTTAGCCGATCTGCCAACTTCTGTCTGTAGTATCCGAACAGTTTGGGCTACAAACTATGACCCCTCTGCGTAAAGGTGAGACTCTCACGAACACGTACATGTTTTGTTCTAGAACGCCCACGGGCCTTACAAGACTCGTCTGAAGGTCCCCCGGTACCAGTTGAAAAAATGAATGGAAGTGTATATGGAGATTGTTTAGTGCCCAAAATAAGGGGTTAAATACATGTAAAATATATATTTCCTGATCTTTCTTATATCTCTCAGATATAGGATAGTCACTTCAGAACAAACTTCCTTTAGATTTATCTTTTGGGACTATCTGTTCCATGTAGTGAATATGTTATTCAATGTGTTTGTAACAGCAGTACGTTTTTTTTTTTATACTTCAAGGGGTCTTAAAATTCAAAATCAAATAGCAAAATTATCCTTGGTATGACCTTCCTAAAACAATTCCATATAGCTTAGTAGTACCACCCCCCCCACCCACCCATCCCCGGGCTTAGACTCTTATGGGTTAAGGGAGTGCTAAAGCAGTACTGTTTTGCATTGGCTGTGGTGTTTTGCCAATTTGTGACCAGAATATGACAAAATTGTAAAAGAGTGCAACGTTTAGGCAACCTTCCAGATGTGAGGTTTTGACTTTGGCTGCATGTGTAGGCTAGCCAGAGAGCTGCAAACTTGCATGTTCTTATTTTAGTGCTGATCTCCTACATAGTTCCATAGCACTCATTGGGGAATGCTTCCTCTAGCTGTCAGTTTACATAATAGGCTATCTAGGCCAATTGTGCTACTAATAAAGTTCAGGCCTTAAACTGCCCCCTCATCACACAGCACACACCCTCATGATCTTCAATGTGGTCCTCTGTCAAACTCTTACATTTACATTTACGTCATTTAGCAGACGCTCTTATCCAGAGCGACTTACAAATAGGTGCATTCACCTTATAGCCAGTGGGATAACCACTTTACAATGTTTTTTTTTTTCATTTTTTTTTCATCTTATTTTCTGTTACTTTTCAATAAAGTCAACTACTAGGCAACCTTTCTTTTTTTCCTTCTCTTTCTCTTTCCCTTTGCAAAACCTATGCCTACCCCACCATAACAACTAAACTACAATCTCCTTCTTGGCCCTCTCTTCCCTCCCCTCGCCACCCCAGCCTAGACTCTGCATGGCGAGCTAGCAGCAGCAGAAGTGACTCTCCCTAGAGCAGGCTGAGGCCAGTGGTAGAGCAGTGGCGTGGCCCCGGCCTGTACGGGAGGAGAACCATGGCCTCTCGTCATCAGAGGAACTCTGTGCGGATCCTGTCCAGCCGGGAGCGCGGCTCGCAGGCCTTTGGCTCGCAGCACCTCCTGCAGCAGATGGTGGAGGAGAAGGTCCGCTGGATGAAATGGCAGAGTCAGGTAACAGCCAAAGAAGACCCACTATCCCAGTCAAGGGATTAGCCCAAACTGCTTTGGTTTTCGACAGATATGGAATAGTAGTAGGCGATCCGTCTCTCACTGCTCTCGCTGCCCACTTGCTGCAGTAGGCGTTTTGATTTGGGGCAGTATGTAACTCGTCACCATGGAAACAATGCCCTGTGCTTATCTTCATCATCTTTAGTCTATTTGGGAGTTGTTCTTCAAAATCCCGAATAATATGCAGTTGATGCATCACAATTTGACTTGAATCAAGTCATAAGTTTAAAAATCCTGTCTGCTTTTAATAATCAATGTGCTACCTCCATGTAAGGCTCTGGCGTTAAGTGATGTTTGTTGCCTCACACAGAAAGTGGAGCTGCCAGACAGCCCTCGCTCGACGTTCCTGTTGGCCTTCAGCCCAGACCGGTAAGGAACTCAACTGACCCGGCCGCATGAATGGATTCATGAGAGCATTTGAGAGGCAGGGCTTCCTTGAACATTTCAACAGAAGCTGTACCATTCACTCCATGCCCCTGTTTTCTCTCTCCCCCTCTTCTATCAACTCTGATAGGACCCTCATGGCTTCCACTCACGTCAATCACAACATCTACATCACGGAGGTGAAGACTGGAAAGTGCCTCCATTCGCTGGTGGGCCACCGCCGCACGCCCTGGTGCGTGACCTTTCACCCCACCATCCCTGGCCTGGTGGCCTCAGGGTGCCTTGACGGAGAGGTCCGCATCTGGGACCTGCATGTAAGTGGTGCCTTCTATAAAACACAGACCCCTATTAAGATGAATAGGACAAGTTTCAGGTCCCCGCTTGCTAAGTTGCATAGGTATATTTTATTGTTCTGTTAGGGTGTAAGACTCTCATACACAGCACAGTCTCGCCAGAAATACATGTTGAGGAGTCCCCCAGGGAACTCGCCTCGGTCCGAGTGGTTTGTGGCGGCTCCAGGCGTCATAAGGAAGCTTTTCCTTCTTCAATGTGTTGCTATTGGTAGTCTAGTTGATAAACCTTGATCACAGTAGTTTGCGTCCCGTAAACATCATGCAAACGTTTTCTATCCAGTGTTGCCGTACCGTTCTTGTTTCTTTCTCTATTAAACCCCCTTATTGTGTTTGTTTCTGCAGGGTGGCAGTGAGAGCTGGTTCACAGAGAGCAACGTGGCCATTGCCTCGCTTACCTTCCACCCCACCGCCCAGCTCCTCCTCATCGCCACCAACAACGAGCTCCACTTCTGGGACTGGAGCCGGCCCGAGCCCTTCGCCGTGGTCAAAACCGGCAGCGAGACTGAAAGAGTCAGGTGGGACACCATTTAGACACATTTAATATTGTGTTCTATTTCATTCTGTGTGACACATATTTCGGATTTTAAATATGTATAATTTGTGTCAGGAAAATGCAAAATGTCTTAACATTTATGTTCCTTTCACATGTAACAACCCCTAGTGTAGTGAAAATGTTGTATCATAATAGTATGGTAATGCTATGATTAGGATATCTTTGAGTTTATGAAAAGCTCAGCTCTATCTCTTTCAGGTTGGTGAGGTTTGATCCTTTGGGGCACAATCTTCTGACGGCTATTGTGAACCCCACCAACCAGCAGGTGAGGCCGTCTAGAAATAAAAGAATCTTCTCAAAACCTTTAAAACATGGCTGTCTCCTAATACCCTAAAACATTCAACATGACTATACCCTAATATGTTCTGTAGAATGATGATGACTCAGAGATCCCCATGGACAGCGTGGAGATGCCCCACTTCCGCCAGCGCTCCTTCATGCCCTCCCAGCCTGTACGCCGCACACCAATCCTCCACAACTTCCTGCACATCTTGTCATCACGCTCGTCGGGGGCGCAGGCTGGGGGGGATTCGTCCCGCCCTGGTGGGGAGGGCAGCGGCGAGCCCCCCAGCATGCCTTTGGGCCAGTACCCAGCATCGCAGAACCGTGGACCGCCCTACCCAGGCTGCACCCAGCACCTGGGCATGGTGTGCCTCTGCAGCCGCTGCACGGCCAACCGCAGCCCCTCTCTGGGCGAGGGTCCCTCCACCTCCAGGCCTGTGGTCCCCCCCGAGCCTCCCCAGGTGGCCTCTCAGCCAGTCCCCCACACCTCTACTTTCTCCTCGGCCCGTACGGAGCCCCGGCAGCCTTCGGAGCCCACTGGGGCCCAGCAGCGGCCCTCGGCCTTCACCACGGTCTACTACAGCGCCGGCAGCTCCCTGCACCGCGCCGTGCCTACCACCCACGTGGCCAGCCAGCCCCTGAGCCAGCAGCTGCCCCCGCCCGCCAGCCACCAACACCAACCCCCATCCCACCCGCTGCCCGGACCTGACTGGACACGCAGCCTGCTGAACATGAGAAGCTCAGAGAGCGGGGCCGGAAGTGGGGGGAGCAACGGAGGGGTTATGAGTGGTGTAGGGGGTGGGATGCTGCCCCCCCGGACCAGCTCGTCCTCTGTCAGCCTGCTGTCAGTGCTGCGACAGCAGGACGGCTCTTCCCAGTCCCCCGTCTACACCTCCGCGACCGAGGGACGAGGCTTCCCCCCGCAGCCGGGCGCCGAACCTGGCTCCAGCCCCGTGGCCAATCAGAGAGGAGGAAGTGGTGGTGGAGGAGGAGGAGGGGTGGGCACCAGCAGCGGGCACCACCCATTCTGGGATGGCACGCGCAGCAACCCGGCCTTGTTCCGCAACGTGCTCCAGTGCAACCTTAGCCGCTACTTCATGGAGTGCGACCGCATGCAGGACCTGGAGTCGCCGCTGGGTGGCGCCAGCGGGGATGTCGGGGGAGGGGAGGGTGGCCAGGAGCAGACGCAGGAGCTGCTCAATAACAACATGGACCCGGTGAGACCCGGGCCTTCCTCGTCCTCCCACTACCAGCCCCAGCCACCCCCACCTGCCCTAACCGAGAACAACCCCCCTCCCTCCTCTAGCGCGGCCCACTCCTCCCGGGGCCACCTGAACCGCTGCCGGGCCTGCCACAACCTGCTCACCTTCAACCACGACTCCCAACGCTGGGAGCGCACCAGCCCGGCCTCCTCCACCTCCGCTGTCTCCACCCAGGAGGGCTCCAGCTCTCCCTGGCGGCAGCCCTTCAGCCCTGCCTATGAGGATCCCCATGCATCCCCACAGAGCCGGGATCCACACCCCCATCCCCAAGAGAGGGAGAGGAGGGTAGCCCAGCCCCCTGAGCCCAGCGAGCTGCAGCCCTCCCCAGGCCCTCACGTTGCAGCCATGCCCTTCCCCACCATTGCGTCGTCCTCTGCCCAGCCCGGGGAGCAGACTGTGGGCCTGGTGTACAACCAGGAGACGGGCCAGTGGGAGCGTGTCTACCGCCAGGCCGCCTCCAGCCGCTCCGCCGACGCACCGCCAGAGGCCTTAAGCCAGGAAATGCCTGTGGATAACCCGGACGAGGACTCTCTGAGAAGGTAGAGTTATGAGAAAGGCCTTGGTAGTCTCTGCGGTGGTGTTTTTCTCTCAGACCAGGGTCCTGTTTAGTAAGGCACACCGCGGCAAAACATTTTGAAACTGAAAATGAAAATGAGCTTCTTATTGAATGAGCTCAGATAGTACCACTCTGTTTCGGACCGTTTTCTTCAGTTTGGTATCTACTGAACACCACTCGGCTCACTTTATCTAGTGATCCACTCTGGCACGATAACATTACAGCAAGTGACTACTGGTCTGCTTTACTCAGTATTTCCATGATAGACTTATATTGTCCAAATAGTTGTATTTGTATAAAACAAATAGACTCCCTTTGCAGAGGAGATGTAATTGCTGATCCATTGTTTGGTGGGTTTGTTCACAGGAGGCTGTTGGAGTCCTCCCTCCTCTCTCTCTCCCGCTACGACATGGGAGGATCCCGAGACCACCCTATCTACCCAGACCCCGCCAGGTACCAACCTTAACCCCAATTAAAATGGTATCATCTTTGATAGGATCAAACCCATTGAGTAAGGTTGAAAATATCCACAAACTTTCCCGAAGTGTCCAGGTGTGTTAACAACCTGAAAACTTGGGGGGGAGTTTCTGGAATTTTGCAAGCCTAGTATGAATCCTACAGCTGTAAACCCCCATTGACCCCTTCTCTCTGCCGTTATCTCTCCTGCAGGTTGTCCCCAGCTGCGTACTACGCCCAGAGGATGATCCAGTACCTGTCGAGGCGGGACAGTATCCGCCAGCGCTCGCTGCGCTACCAGCAGAACCGGCTGAGGACCCTCTCCTCCTCATCGGACAGCCCTGCTGGCAACCCCTCGGCCGCCATGGAGAACAGCGACGTGGACTTTGAGGAGCTAGAGTGAGTTGGCGGCAAACACCACGCAGAGAGAATGTTCGCTAAGTGTGTCGTTTGAGGCATGTGTCGATACTGATAGGATCAAATGCTTAGTGGGTAAGAGCGTTGTGCCAGTAACCAAAAGGTCGCTGGTTCTAATCCCCAAGCCGACTAGGTGAAAAATCTGTCGATGTGCCCTTAAGCAAGGCACGTAACCCTAATTGCTCATGTAAGTCGCTCTGGATAAGAGCGTCTGCTAAATGACTAAAATGTAAATGTAAATGTAAAGGGAGTGCTGCTCTCGGATCAGCTTTCTCCATTCAAATCTTACCTTAAAAATTATAATTATTTCACGATACTGACTATGGATCAGCTCCTAGAGAGATATTACCAGCTACGGCTGCAGATATTGAGGCGGCTTATTCTAAAGCTTACCTAATAAAATGCACTAAATCACAGATTTGGCACATCATTGCGCACGTGTTAGGCTACACATCATGAAATATATATTTTTATACGTCGCTTGTTTGTACAAATTGCAAAGACATTCGCAACTTTGTATTTGTAGTCAACTTTGTTCTGAAGTTATCGGCGGTCTCAGAGAGACGGATAAACCGTGTGTTTCTATGTTTAGCGGAGATCTTCTGTGTATAAAGTAACACGGAAGGGCAAAAAAAGCATCTAACGACGCACTTAGCTGTTCTACGAGTGGTCTGAGGCAGGCGTTAGATTACGAGCGTTTTCAAGTGCAATGTTAATAACGCTGGTTTTGGGAAACAGCTCAGAGATTTAACGATGCTCCTATGAAGGTTCTAATGATGGGAAACCGGGCCCTGACCCCTTAAAGATAGAATCCTTAATTGAAACGATAACAAAGCGGTCACCCCACCTCTGTTTTGGTAAAAAGCTGAGGGATGGACCTGGAGAAATGTTACCACTTTCAAATTCATAGACAGAGATATCGAAGTAAGGACTGACCATCCATGATATCAAGATTATACTTTTAACCATGTTTTGAGGATATACAAAGTTTATATTTACAGTACGCAGGTTTCCATTGACCCAGGTGTATTCGACAAAAGCAACGTCATTGCGACATGTGCAATGAAAACAGCAGCTATAGGACAAATGTTCTAATGATCAACAAACATTTTACCTGTTCGACAGGGGTGGATTTTTCTTTATTGCGACAAATGATGATGGAAACTGTTTTTCGAATAAAATGATGATTTGAAACGAATAATTGAAGGTATTCTTTCATTCTATCCATGCTTTTTGGGCTACCTGAGACCTGAAACAGATCGGTGGTAGGGCTGTCGCCAATTTTATTAATGCACAATTTGCCTAAATGGATAAAGGAAACAGTTCAACCACTTAATTTTATTTCACTCTAGGTTTTTACGGAAGTTTTATTGTTTAGGTATAATGTCATTACATCCAGCTGTTTTTATCGACACAAGACTGCACCGTAGCAGGCAATTGTCGTGTCTGTTTTCTATGTGAACTTTCTAAATGTCGACAAAAAAATCACTGTACAAGTTCATGTTTACAAACATTGGAGTAAAACAAGCTTATATTTGAGGTTCTGATGAGGTATGACAATCGAACTAAGCTCATGAGGCATTTATAAGTTATATTCTTCAATAATCAATGTGTATATATAATTAATTTATAAGTCCAAAAATGGATGTAGCAACTAAGGATTCCACCTTTTAAAGGGATATTACGCTCTTCAATCAAAGTTTGCCAGTTGTTTTCAGACCTCAAAATGGTATTCTGTTCAAATAAGTAAAGGAGGAGATAAAAGGGGTTAAGTAGATGTCTCAGGCCATCTTTTTGGAAAAGATAAGAACCATATATTTTGCGATCTGAGTACAGTGATCCTACTTTGAACCCTTAGCTTCACCACACGTCTCCCAATAGCCTCTGTTTCTCCCAATAACTGCTGTGTGTGTGTGTTTAACAGTGATAACGGAGACCGGATGAGGCACAGAACACCGCGCAACGCCAGGATGTCCGCTCCTTCGCTGGGGCGTTTCGTTCCCCGGCGGTTCCTGTTGCCTGAGTATCTGCCATACGCTGGGATCTTCCACGAGAGGGGACAGCCTGGCCTGGCCACTCACTCCTCTGTCAACAGGGTCTTAGCAGGTAATAACCAAGATTGTCTCACTAAAGTGCACTCTGCTTATAGAGCGTCTGGTTGGTAGTGATCAAATTGTCCTGTACGGATGTCATCACTATTATAGTGGTCTATAAGAGGAGAGTACTGTAATACCCTTTACCTACTACTGTGCCAAGCTGAGCTGTATTTGAGCTGGCCTGATTACCCATCAATTATAGTTGGTGGAACCATTCTGCAAAGGTGAAAAAGAGGATGTCCAAGCCAGCACAGTACAGTTGAAGTGCGCAACAAGTGACTAGTTGACTTCTGTCATACATCTCAATGTTATCCATTTGATTGTGTTCATTTCCGCTGTCTGCAATAATGGTAGACAGTCCTCTTCCTACTTCACTTCCAATGCTCTATCCACTGACCAAAATGCCTTTCCTCCTGTCTCTCAGGTGCCTCCATCGGGGACGGACAGTCGGCGGTGGCCAGCAACATAGCCAACACAACCTACCGGCTGCAGTGGTGGGACTTCACCAAGTTCGACCTGCCTGAGATCAGCAACGGTATGTGAAATGATCAGAACGTTGCAGGTAGAAATAGAATGAATCGAGCTGCCATGATTCCATATTCTATCTGACAGACAGTCGTATCTGTTCTACATAATGCATTTCTCTGACCATTCTGTAACGTTACATTCTCCTAAACGAGCCCCAGCTCTCATATTGTCTGAACAGCCATTTTTGCTTACCCTGATTGCGTTTACCTTGGTAGAATTATACTGTAGTATTGACATCGTGTGTGTGGGGGTGTGTGTGGGGGGGAGTTCTTCTATTCTTGTAGGGACCTAAAATGCCCAAAAGTCCCCACAAGGATAGTAAAACAAGGAAAATTCTCCCTCGTGGGGACATTTCCCACGTCCCCATGAGGACAAAGTCTATTTTAAGCTTAGGGGGTTAGGTTTAATGTTAGGGTTACAATTAGGGTAAGGGGTTAGGGTTTGGGTTAAGGTTAGGGTTAGGAACATTTTGAATGGAAATACATTTTAGGTCCCCACAAGGATAGAATAACAAAGTGTTTGTTCAGAATTAAACTGTAGTACTGAATTATTGTGTGTGCTTGTGTGTATTCCCCACCCCTCCAGCCTCTGTGAATGTGCTGGTGCCAAACTGTAAGATATACAACGACGCCAGCTGTGACATCTCAGCGGACGGGCAGCTCCTGGCCGTGTTCATACCCAGCAGCCAGCGGGGCTTCCCTGACGAGGGCATCCTGGCCGTGTACTCCCTGGCCCCGCACAACCTGGGGGAGATGCTCTACACCAAGAGATTTGGTAAGTCATGTCACGTGGTCCTCTGTAGCTCAATTGGTAGAGCATGGCGCTTGCAACGCCAGGATAGTGGGTTTCGAATCCCGGTTGGTTCCCAGTGGGATCAATTCACCTGTACGTAAAGAATGTATGCACGCATGGATAAAAGTCGCTTTGGATAAAAGAGTTTGCTAAAATGCATATTATTACATTTTAGTCATTTAGCAGACGCTCTTATCCAGAGCGACTTACAGTTAGTGCATACATTTTCATACTTTATTACTATATATTATTTAGTAAGTCTTGCCGTCATGGACTTGACCTCCAGGATACAACTATAGCAGTGTTTCCCAAACCTCTCCTCAAATACCCCCAGCCAATCCACTTATTTTAGGTATTCCAGTGATGGCAGACCTGATTCAATTGTTCAACTAATCACCTCATTAGTTGAATCAGGTGTGCTAGTTCTGGAATACATCAAATGCGTGGAACGGCTGGGGGTGCTTGAGGAGAGGTTTGCGACACTGAACTAGAGAATCTATACTGAACAAAAATATAAACGCAACGTGCAACAATTTCAATGATTTTACTGAGTTACAGTTCGTATAAGGAAATCAGTCAATTTAAATAAATAAATTAGGCCCTAATCTATGGATTTCACATGACTGGGAGGGGCACAGCCATGGGTGGCCCACCAACTTGGGAGCCAGGCCCAGCCAATCAGAATTAGTTTTTTTGCCTAACCTTGTCAGTTTGTCTTCCTTCTCCCGCAGGTCCCAATGCCATCTCGGTGAGCCTGTCTCCCATGGGCTGCTACGTGATGGTGGGCCTGGCCTCCCGCAGGATCCTGCTACATCCCTCCACTGACCACATGGTGGCGCAAGTGTTCCGGCTGCAGCAGCCCCACGGCGGAGAGACCTCCATCAGGGTGAGAAAGACAGACATAGCCTCTTGATGCAGGGAAAGACCAGGGTTGTGTTCATTAGGCACCAAACGGAAGAAAAAGGACTGAAACATGGATGGACTACCCGGACTTGTCCAATAAGAAACTCTCCTTTTTGTTTCTTTTGCATGCCATAGTGAACATGACCCTGGTTACATGTTGCTGTTAACCTATGTCAGTAGTGTGTGGCTGTGGTGGTCAACAATGAGGGAGAACATAGTATGATAATTGATACTACAGCTCTGTAGAGACTGGGGTTAAAACCTGTAAAAGTCTAAGCTGTTGGGGGGGAAGAGGCATACCATGGATAATTTGGCTATTTGATTTGGAATTTTAGGACCCCTTTAGGTATCCAAGAAAAATATTTAAAAAACTAATTTGATAAAATATTGAATTTAGCCTTTACTACTATAGCCCATAGAAACGCATTGAATAACACATTCATAAATGGCAAAAAAGACAGTAAAAAAATACATTAGGAATAGGGTTTTGAAGTGTCCTATATCTAGGAGATGTAAGAAGGCTCAGACGATCCCACAGGTGAAGAAGCCGGATGTGGAGGTCCTGTGCTGGCGTGGTTACACGTGGTCTGCGGTTACACGTGGTCTGCGGTTATGAGGCCGGTTGGACATATTGCCAAATTCACTAAAACTACGTTGGCTTATGGTAGAGAAATTAATATTAAAACAACTCTGGTGGAGATTCCTGCTGTCAGCATGCCAATTGCACGCTCCCTCAAAACTTGAGACATCTGTGGCATTGTGTTGTGACAAAACTGCACATTTTAGAGTGGCCTTTTATTGTCCCCAGCACAAGGTGCACCTGTGTAATGATCAGCTGTTTAATCAGCTTTTTGATATGCTGCAGCTGTCAGGTGGATGGATTATCTTGGCAAAGGGGAAATGCTCACTAACAGGGATGTAAACAAATTTATGCACAACTTTTTTGAGATACGTTTTTCAAATCAAATCAAATCAAATTTTATTGGTCACATACACGTATTAGCAGATGTTATTGCGGGGGTAGCGAAATGCTTGTGTTTCTAGCTCTGACAGTGAAGTAATATCTAACAAGTAATATCTAACAATTTCACAACACATACCTAATACACATATACTTAATACAATTCTAAGTAAAGCAGTTTTTGTGCGTATGGACATTTTCTGGGATCTTCACTTTACATGTTGCGTTTATATTTTTGTTCAGTGTAGAATCATTTACTTATTTACCTAGTTGGCTTGTTGTGTATTCTGTGCAAGATAAACATTCCTTTCGAGGCGCATTCAAGTTGCGAGAGCCATAGGAGGGAAACATGTATTCTGACAAGCAGTCAATGCACAACAATTCTTAATGCAATCGCGGGAAAACACTTTTGAAAGCAGCTTTGGCAATTGTATTTTGAAAGCAGTTTTGGCCATGAGGGGGACACCATGTTTATTTCTCTACTCCTTCATGTGGCATCGTTTTACAGATGCAGTTTTACAACCGGAGTTTCAAGCATGGTTTAGGCACAGCTGCGCAAAATAGCTCTTAAAGGGTCAATGTCGTCTTAAAAGGGCAATGACATACTTTTTAATAGAAACAAAAATATATAATTAAGAATTATTTATATATTCATATTTATAATAAAATAATAATTACAATTAGGATGTTGTGTCCAATGGGGTAAATGCAGATAGACAAACCCCATTGTTCAGCCTATGTAACTTTTTATAGCCACTATGCTGCATCAGTTGTGCTTCAGGTGATAATGCTTATTGCTAATTTGGAATTGGTCCAAACACTAAGACAGTCGTGAAGATGGCGCGACAAAGCCTTTTCCCGCATCAGGAGACTGAAAAGATTTGGCATGGGTCCCCAGATCCTCAGAAAGTTATACAGCTGCACCATCAAGAGCATCCTGACCGGTTGCATCACCGCCTGGTATGGCAACTGCTCATCATCCGACCATAAGGCGCTACAGAGGGTAGTGCGTACGGCCCAGTACATCACTGGGGCCAAGCTTCCTGCCATCCAGGATCTACAGTGCATTCGGAAAGTATTCAGACCCCTTGACTTTTTCCACATTTTGTTACGTTACAGCCTTATTCTAAAATGGATTGAAAAAATAAAAAATCTGCAGGAATCAACACACAATACCCCATAATGACAAAGGGAAAACAGTTTGGTAGAATTTGTTTCAAATTTATTAAAAACATAAATACCTTATCTACGTAAGTATCCAGACCCTTTGCTATGAGACACGAAATTGAGTGCAGGTGCATCCTGTTTCCATTGATCATCCTTGAGATGTTTCTAAAACTTGATTGGAGTCCACCTGTGGTAAATTCAATTGATTGGACATGATTTTGAAAGGCAGACACCAGTATATATAAGGTCCCACAGTTGATAGTGCATGTTAGAGCAAAAACCAAACCAATGAGGTTGAAGGAATTGTCCGTAGAGCTCCGAGACAGGATTGTGTTGAGGCACAGATCTGGGGAAGGGTACCAACAAATGTCTGCAACATTGAAGGTCCTCAAGAACACAGCTGGCCTCCATCATTCTTAAATGGAAGAAGTTTGGAACCACAAAGACTCTTCCTAGAGCTGGCCGCCCGGCCAAACTGAGCAATCGTGGGAGAAGAGCCTTGGTCAGGGAGGTGACCAAGAACCCGATGGTAACTCTGATAGTCACTTTACCCCTACCTACATGTACAAATTACCTCAACTAGCCTGTAGCCCCGCACATTGACTCGGTACCTGTACCCCCTGAATATAGCCTTGTTATTTTATTGTGTTAATTTTTATTTTGTTTTTTACTTTATTTTATTTAGTAAATATTTTCTTTAAAATAATCCCGGGAAGGATCCCAGACCCCTTAAGCAAAGGGACTGGCATTGGTCAAACTCGCAGTTTAATACATGTACAAAAGGATCCTCTTTCCCTAAAAGCATGGGTGGCCATAACTTTCTTACATGAAAGGGGAGGTTAACTTGTTCCCAGACAATCAATCTGAGATCGACTTAAGTTTCAGTCATGGGATTTTTTTTGCTTTAACCCCTGTGTAGAGACTTGAAGCACAACTACATAGCTTTAACCCATACTTGAAGGGTTCCCTTTAATGTGCATTTTATGTTTGATATAGATCCCGACTGATATATCGGTTCACTGATATTATTGGCCGATATTGACCTTCAAATGCTATATCTGTATCGGCCGATAATTTCTCCGATATTCAATAAATAGGATGAAAAAAGGGAATCTCATGCTTATCTAAACACGTGTGGCCATCGTCATGGTGTGTCATTAATTTCACAATGTAAAAAATCAACATATGAAGTATATTTCTTGGACAATTGCTGTTTTGGATGGCAATTTAGGGTTAAAGCTTATTTCCTGCAAATCTACTCATTTTTGTACCCAAGAAAGCAATTCCACTCATTCTTGTACCCAAGAAAGCAAAGGTAACTGAACTAAATGACTATCGCCCTGTAGCACTCACCTCTGTCATCATGAAGTGCTTTGAGAGACTAGTCAAGGATCATATCACCTCTACCTTACCTGTCACCCTAGACCCACTTCAATTTGCTTACGGCCCCAATAGATCCACAGACGATGCAATCGCCATCACACTGCACACTGCCCTATCCCATCTGGACAAGAGGAATATCTATGTAAGAATGCTGTTCATTGACTATAGCTCAGCATTCAACATCATTGTACCCTCCAAGCTCATCATCAAGCTCGAGGCTCTGGGTCTGAACCCCGCCCTGTGCAACTGGGTCCTGGACTTCCTGACGGGCCGCCCCCAGGTGGTGAAGGTAGGAAACAACATCTCCACTTCGCTGATCCTCAACACTGGGGCCCCACAAGGGTGCGTGCTCAGCCCCCTCCTGTACTCCCTGTTCACCCATGACTGCGTGGCCAAGCACACCTCCAACTCAATCATCAAGTTTGCAGATGACACAACAGTAGTAGGCTTGATTACCAACAATGACGAGACCGCCTACAGGGAGGAGGTGAGGGCTCTGGGAGTGTGGTGCCAGGAAAAAAACCTCTCACTCAACGTCAACAAAACAAAGGAGATGATCGTGGACTTTTGGAAACAGCAGAGTGTGCACCCCCCTATCCACATCGACGGGACCACAGTGGAGAAGGTGGAAAGCTTCAAGTTTCTTGGCGTACACATCACCGACAAACTGAAATGGTCCACCCACGCAGACAGTGTGGTGAAGAAGGCTCAACAGAGCCTCTTCAATCTCAGGAGGCTGAAGAAATTCGGCTTGGCACCTAAAACCCTCACAAACCTTTACAGATGCACAATTGAGAGCATCCTGTCGGGCTGTATCACCACTTGGTACGGCAACTGCACCGCCCGCAACCGCAGGGCTCTCCAGAGGGTGGGGCGGTCTGCCGAACACATTATCGGGGGCAAACTGCCCGCCCTTCAAGACACATACAGCACCCGATGTCACAGGAAGGCCAAAAAGATCATCAAGGACATCAACCACCTGAGCCACAGCCTGTTCACCCCGCTATCATCCAGAAGGCGAGGTCAGTACAGGTACATCAAAGCTGGGACCGAGAGAATGAAAAACAGCTTCTATCTCAAGGCCATCAGACTGTTAAATAGCCATCACTAGCACATTAGAGGCTGCTGCTGCCTATTGAAATCACTGGCCACTTTAAGAAATGGAACACTAGTCACTTTAATAATGTTTACAGTCACTTTAATAATGTTTACATATCTTGCACTACTCATCTCATATGTACAGTGGGGGAAAAAAGTATTTAGTCAGCCACCAATTATGCAAGTTCTCCCACTTAAAAAGATGAGAGAGGCCTGTAATTTTCATCATAGGTACACGTCAAATATGACAGACAAATTGAGAAAAAAAAATCCAGAAAATCACATTGTAGGATTTTTAATGAATTTATTTGCAAATTATGGTGGAAAATAAGTATTTGGTCAATAACAAAAGTTTCTCAATACTTTGTTATATACCCTTTGTTGGCAATGACACAGGTCAAACGTTTTCTGTAAGTCTTCACAAGGTTTTCACACACTGTTGCTGGTATTTTGGCCCATTCCTCCATGCAGATCTCCTCTAGAGCAGTGATGTTTTGGGGCTGTCGCTGGGCAACACGGACTTTCAACTCCCTCCAAAGATTTTCTATGGGGTTGAGATCTGGAGACTGGCTAGGCCACTCCAGGACCTTGAAATGCTTCTTACGAAGCCACTCCTTCGTTGCCCGGGCGGTGTGTTTGGGATCATTGTCATGCTGAAAGACCCAGCCACGTTTCATCTTCAATGCCCTTGCTGATGGAAGGAGGTTCTCACTCAAAATCTCACGATACATGGCCCCATTCATTCTTTCCTTTACACGGATCAGTCGTACTGGTCCCTTTGCAGAAAAACAGCCCCAAAGCATGATGTTTCCACCCCCATGCTTCACAGTAGGTATGGTGTTCTTTGGATGCAACTCAGCATTCTTTGTCCTCCAAACACGACGAGTTGAGTTTTTACCAAAAAGTTAGATTTTGGTTTCATCTGACCATATGACATTCTCCCAATCCTCTTCTGGATCATCCAAATGCACTCTAGCAAACTTCAGACGGGCCTGGACATGTACTGGCTTAAGCAGGGGGACACGTCTGGCACTGCAGGATTTTAGTCCCTGGCGGCGTAGTGTGTTACTGATGGTAGGCTTTGTTACTTTGGTCCCAGCTCTCTGCAGGTCATTCACTAGGTCCCCCCGTGTGGTTCTAGGGATTTTTGCTCACCGTTCTTGTGATCATTTTGACCCCACGGGGTGAGATCTTGTGTGGAGCCCCAGATCGAGGGAGATTATCAGTGGTCTTGTATGTCTTCCATTTCCTAATAATTGCTCCCACAGTTGATTTCTTCAAACCAAGCTGCTTACCTATTGCAGATTCAGTCTTCCCAGCCTGGTGCAGGTCTACAATTTTGTTTCTGGTGTCCTTTGACAGCTCTTTGGTCTTGGCCATAGTGGAGTTTGGAGTGTGACTGTTTGAGGTTGTGGACAGGTGTATTTTATACTGATAACAAGTTCAAACAGGTGCCATTAATACAGGTAACGAGTGGAGGACAGAGGAGCCTCTTAAAGAAGAAGTTACAGGTCTGTGAGAGCCAGAAATCTTGCTTGTTTGTAGGTGACCAAATACTTATTTTCCACCATAATTTGCAAATAAATTCATTAAAAATCCTACAATGTGATTTTCTGGATTTTATTTTCTCAATTTGTCTGTCATAGTTGACGTGTACCTATGATGAAAATTACAGGCCTCTCTCATCTTTTTAAGTGGGAGAACTTGCACAATTGGTGGCTGACTAAATACTTTTTTTCCCCCACTGTATATACTGCATTCTATTCTATAATATTCTACTGTATCTTAGTCCATGCCGCTCTGTCATTGCTTGTCCATATATGTATATTTTCTTAAATTCCATTCCTTACTAGTTTTGTGTGCATTAGGTATATGTTGTGAAATTGTTAGATATTACTTGTTAGATATTACTGCACTGTCGGAGCTAGAAGCACAATCATTTCGCTACACCCGCTATAACATCTGCTAAACACGTGTATGTGACAAATACAATTTGATTTGTGCAGAGCAAATTTTGCAGTTTTAAAACACATTTTCTTCCAATTCTATACATTTTGCCATGTCTAATGTGTATTCATGTGATATTTGACCAACTCAAACATTAAACAATCTATGGGCTAAAAAACCTAGCTAAAAAACATTAGCTGACATGGGCTAGTTGATCTGGACATTTCTGACACGTTACAGTACATTCAGAAAGTATTCAGACCCCTTGACTTTTTCCACATTTTGTTACGTTACAGTCTTATTCTAAAATGGATTAAATAAAACATTTTCCTCATCAATCTACACACAATACTCCATAATGACAAAGCAAAAACAGGTTTTTAGACATTTTTGCAAATGTATTAAAAACAAAAAACAGATACCTTATTTATATAAGTATTCAGACCCTTTGCTATGAGACTCGAAATAGAGCTCAGGTGCAGGCAGGTAAAAGGCACATGACAGCCCGCTTGGAGTTTGATAAAAGGCACCTGAAGGACTCTTAGACCATGAGAAACAAGATTCTCTGGTCTGATGAAACCAATAATGAACTCTTTGGCCTGAAAGCCAAACGTCATATCTGGAGGGAACCTGGCACTATCCCTACGGTGAAGCATGGTGGTGGCAGCATCATGCTATGGGGATGTTTTTCAGCGACAGGGACTGGGAGACTAGTCAAGATCGAGGGAAAGATGAACAAAGCAAAGTACAGAGAGATCCTTGATGAAAACCTGCTCCAGAGCGCTCAGGACCTCAGACTGGGACGAAGGTTCACCTTCCAACAGGACAACAACCCTAAGCACACAGCCAAGCCAATGCAGGAGTGGCTTCGGCACAAGTCTCTGAATGTCCTTGAGTGGCCCAGCCAGAGCCCGGACTTGAACCCGATCTAACATCTCTGGAGAGACCTGAAAATAGCTGTGTAGCGGCGCTCCCCATCCAATCTGACAGAGCTTGAGAGGATCAGCAGAGGATGGGAGAAACTCCCCAAATACAGGTGTGCCAAGCTTGTAGCGTCATACCCAAGAAGACTCGAGGCTGTAATCGCTGTCAAAGGTGCTTCAACAAAGTACTGAGTAAAGGGTCTGAATACTTATGTAATTGTGATATTTCCAGTTTTCTTATTTTTTATACATTTGCAGGTCTTTTGAATCCATTTTAGAATAAGGCTGTAACGTAACAAAATGTGGAAAAAGTCAAGGGGCATGAATACTTTACGAATGCACTGTATAAATAAAAATCTCTCTAAGGTATGCAATGACTGACATGACAAGAGGGAAACTGATGATGCACTACCCAATTTCGAAATTGCACCTTGTGGATTCTACTATTACAACTTTCAGTAAGTTGAAAGCTGGACTGAGTTATTTATTTATTTTTTGGGGGGGGGGGGGGGGACCGCGGGGACCGCGGGGACCGCACCCCCTCTGCTGACTGGGCACGCCCCCCAGTTTGGGGACCACTGGTGTAGAGAGTCATTGTACCATCTAACCGCTGTGAAATATATTTATATTATTAATATTGTATTTTCAGCTGTTTGAAGCTGGTGTACAAAATTGAAAGTAAAAGACGCCAAAACGAAACTTAAAATCAGGAAGAGTAGGAATAGCACACATAGAACAGATCTACCACTTCTTAGACTTGCTTTCAATGAGAATGACAGATCTATAACTCACATTTCTATGTGAATTTGGTCAGTCGCCCAAAAAGCTACATATTGCAGCTTTAAGTACCCATTATTTCCCATAGAACTGCCTCAAACCGAATCCGACCAATAACAATCATATTCCACCTATTCACTAGTGATGGCGTAAAACATCTATACAGTAAAGTTGCATATCAGGATATTATTTATATGTATCGTTTTGACTATCGCAATATTATTTTTGCTCTAGTTGGCTGTACCTGCACCAAAAGTATTTTTACTTCATATCTTGTTCTCCATCTTCTTTTTAAATATGGAGCCAATTTTGTTTTTTCATGGCTCTCTCTTGTCCCTCTGCAGCAGACATATGGTGAGAAATATGTTTAGACCATGGAATCGCAATACAATCACAGTATTGAATCGCAATACATATAGAATTGTGAGAATCGCAAAAATATGAAATCAGCACCTAAGTATTGTGATAATATCATATCATGAGGTCGATCCTTGGCAATTCCCAGCCCTACTATTCACTGTAGCAGCACCATAAAACTACTGATAAGTTCTTCAATGGCTTTTAAATTACTGTCTGTCTGGCCATTACAGACATTATAAAGCCATTAAATTCTTCGAAAACAACATGAAAATGTTAGATCAGTTGGAACATAGACAGTAGATAGACATATTATATTTTCTTATTTTTCACATTTCTCCAATGGCGCCGTGCTTTCCAGTAAGACATCTGTTCTTGATTTACCATTACTTGTACACTTGTTGATGTTTGCAATTGTTGATGTTTGTTTGTTTGGGTTCTCTATTTGTTCCTTAGATGGTGTTCAATGTGGTGTACCCCATGGCTCCGGACCAGCGGCGGCACGTCAGCATCAATTCAGCCAGATGGCTTCCAGACCCGGGGATGGGCTTGGCCTACGGCACCAACAAAGGGGACTTGGTCATCTGCAGGCCCGTGTGAGTAGTGCTCCTGTTTGTCCATTGCAATGCGTATACCTGATAGACTGGGCCCTATCGGGACAGTGCATGGGTGACTTTTTGTTTGCTTTGTTGTCATCAATATACACTTTGTGTGCAAAAGTGTATTCCCGGTATCTTGAGTTCAGTGCAGTCCTTACCACCACCTCCAATGCTGGCGGTCATTTGGATTCATTTTGGTCTCTGATTTTATTATTCTAATAGCCAGTATAAACAGGAAGCGTCTGGATTGGAGAGGGTCAATTATTGGTCTGTAATGAGGTCATTGTCTGTGATGATTACATGAAGGAATCTCTCCTCAGTGGGGAGATCTGATAATGACGACATCGTCGGTGCCAATGATAAATGATGTCGTGCTGTCTGTCTGTTCTCCAGGTTGTACCGGAGTGACGGAGAGAGCCCGGCCGAAGCGAGCGCCGAGCCCATATTCACAGTCAGTAACAGCGGTGGTGGAACCAGCAGGACCCGCGGTACAGATCGACCAGGGTGAGCAGTTGACACCTCTTTCTCTTACATGTCCTCTCTGGCCTGCTCGCTGTGTGCACTGAACTGTGTAAAATTACAGAAACTTTCCCAACATTCCCAGGTTTTCCAGAAATCCTCCAACTTTAAAAACGTGGGATTTTGGGGACGTTTCTGGAATTTGCAACTCTAAACTGTGTAATGAGTATCCATCCATAATATCATATCAATCTTCTCTGTGGTGTTTGTCCACTCCAAGGGTCTCCAGTCGCACCAGCTGGAGACTTGACAGGGACATGGGTCTGATGAATGCCATTGGCCTCCAGCCCCGACAGCCCGCCCCCTCGGTGACCTCACAGGGCACTCAGACGGCCATCGTGCAGCTGCAGAACGCCGAGACGCAGACAGAGATGGACCTCTCCGGGCCCAGCACCTCCCACGCTGCTGCTTATGGTAGGAGGAGACTTCTCATTGTTTCCCTGTGCGAAAATAAAACACTGAGATCCAATCAGACCCATGCTCAAGGACACATTGCCTTTCAATTAAGAGTCAGCAGGACAAGTATTTTTTTGTGTTTTACACAGATGTTAACCTTCAACAAATTTCTGACTTACTGTGCAGTTTAGTGTTGCAATTTAGTTTTGTTGAGGAAATGTTAATGTATCAATGATTTCTCTCTCACTACTAATCTCAGTAGAAGCCCGTCAAGAGGTCCCGTCCACAAGCCGTGAGACCCAGGGAGGCCTGGAGCAGCCACAAACCAGTCGGACCGAGGACAGTGCCATGGGGGACGCTTCAACAGAAGCCGGCACCTCCACAGCCAACACCGGTAATCCTCCCAGTCCCAGCTACTACTCTCCCTAAAGACCCCTGTTATTGTACATTCTACATGGTTTTATAGCAGTCTTTCCCTTCGTTTTATCAAAATTCAATTGAAGGGTAGGAGAAACACTTTTACAGTGGGTATCATAAGGATTCACCCCCCTTGAATTTCTGTTACATTTACAAAGTGTGATTAAAATGGATTTGTCATTTTTTGTCAGCAGTCTACACAAAATACTCTGTAATGTCAAGGTGGAAGAAAAGGTATATTTTCTTTTAAAGATTTACAGTACATTCGGAAAGTATTCAGACCCCTTGACTTTTTCCACAGCCTTATTGTAAAATTGATTGAATTGTTTTTTCCCCCTCATCAATCTGCACGCAATACCTCATAATGACAAAGCAAAAACTAGTTTTTAGAAATTTTTGCAAATGTATAAAAAAAAAAAAACGGAAATATCACGTTTACATAAGTATTCAGACCCTTTGGCAGCGATTACAGCCTCGAGTCTTCTTGGGTATGATGCTACAAGCTTGGCACACCTATATTTGGGGAGTTTCTCCCATTCTTCTCTGCAGATCCTCTCAAGGGTTGTTGTCCTGTTGGAAGGTGAACCTTCACCCTAGTCTGAGGTCCTGAGCGCTCTGGAGCAGGTTTTAATCAAGGATCTCTCTGTACTATGCTCCGTTCATCTTTCCCTCGATCCTGACTAGTCTCCCAGTCCCTGCCGCTGAAAAACATCCCCATAGCATGATGCTGCCACCACCATGCTTCACCATAGGGATGGTGCCAGGTTCCCTCCAGATATGACGTTTGGCTTTCAGGCCAAAGAGTTCATTATTGGTTTCATCAGACCAGAGATTCTTGTTTCTCATGGTCTAAGAGTCCTTTAGGTGCCTTTTATCAAACTCCAAGCGGGCTGTCATCTGCCTTTTACCTGCCTGCACCTGAGCTCTATTTCGAGTCTCATAGCAAAGGGTCTGAATACTTATATAAATAAGGTATCTGTTTTTTGTTTTTAATACATTTGCAAAAATGTCTAAAAACCTGTTTTTGCTTTGTCATTGTGGGGTATTGTGTGTAGATTGATGAGGAAAAAGTTTTATTTAATCCATTTTAGAATAAGACTGTAACGTAACAAAATGTGGAAAAGGTCAAGGGGTCTGAATACTTTCTGAATGCACTGTAACGTGTCAGAAATGTCCAGATTTACATTTACATTACATTTTTGTCATTTAGCAGATGCTCTTATCCAGAGCGATTTACAGTTAGTGAGTGCATACATTTTTAAACTAGCCCATGTCAGCTAACGTTTTTTAGATAGGTTTTTTAGCCCATAGATTGTTTGTTTGAGTTGGTCAAATATCACATGAATACACATTAGACATTGCAAAATGTATAGAATTGGAAGAAAATGTGTTTTAAAACTGCAAAATTTGCTCGGCACAAATGAAATTGTATTTGTCACATACACGTGTTTAGCAGATGTTATAGCGGGTGTAGCGAAATGCTTGTGCTTCTAGCTCCGACAGTGCAGTAATATCTAACAAGTAATATCTAACAATTTCACAACATATACCTAATACACACAAAACTAGTAAGGAATGGAATTTTAGAAAATATACACATATGGACAAGCAATGACAGAACGGCATGGACTAAGATACAGTAGAATGTTATAGAATAGAATGCAGTATATACACATATGAGATGAGTAGTGCAAGATATGTAAACATTATTAAAGTGACTGTAAACATTATTAAAGTGACTAGTGTTCCATTTCTTAAAGTGGCCAGTGATTTCAATAGGCAGCAGCAGCCTCTAATGCAGGGTTCTTCAATTCTGGTCCTGGAGGGCCGAAACACTTCTGTTTTTTATTTCTACCTGGTAGTTAATTGCACTCACCTGGTGTCCCAGGTCTGAATTAGCCCCTGATTAGAAGGAGAGGATGAAAAACAGAGGTGTCTCGGCCCTCCAGGACCGGAATTGAAGAACCCTGCTCTAATGTGTTAGTGATGGCTATTTAACAGTCTGAAGGCCTTGAGATAGAAGCTATTTTTCATTCTCTCGGTCCCAGCTTTGATGTACCTGTACTGACCTCGCCTTCTGGATGATAGCGGGGTGAACAGGCAGTGGCTCGGGTGGTTGATGTCCTTGATTATCTTTTTGGCCTTCCTGTGACATCGGGTGCTGTATGTGTCTTGGAGGGCGGGCAGTTTGCCCCCGATAATGCATTCAGCAGACCGCACCACCCTCTGGAGAACCCTGCGGTTTCATCAGACCTGAGAATCTTGTTTCTCATGGTCTGTACTTTAGGTGCCTTTTGGCAAACTCCAAGCAGGCTGTCATGTGCCTTTTACTGAGGAGTGGCTTCCATCTGGCCACTCTACCATAAAGGCCTGATTGGTGGAGTGCTGTAGAGATGGTTGTCCTTCTTAAAGGCAATGCTACCAAATACTAATTGAGTGTATGTAAACTTCTGACCCACTGGGAATGTGATGAAAGAAATAAAAGCTGAAATAAATCATTCTCTCTACTATTATTCTGACATTTCACATTCTTAAAATAAAGTGGTGATCCTAACTGACCTAAAACAGAGAATTCTTACTAGGATTAAATGTCAGTAATTGTGAAAAAGCTGAGTTTAAATGTATTTGGCTAAGGTGTATGTAAACTTCCGACTTCAACTGTAGATGTTGTATGTATGGGGGACAGAGGAAGGGGTAGTCATAAAAAAATCATGTCAACCCCTATTATTTCACACAGTGAGTCTGCAACTTATTATGTGATTTGTTAAGCCACATTTTACTACTGAACTAATTTAGGCTTGCCTAATCAATTTTCTATAAATTTCTATTAATTTGTAAAAATGTGTCGAATTTTCTTTTGATTATTATGTCTAGATCATGATTTAAAAAAATAAAAATAATAATGAAATATATTTCAATCCCACTTTGAAAAAAATACCAATACTTATTATATGCACTGTATATAGTCATTATGACAGCAAATGGTAAAATGGTCAGAAAGGGGTGGTTCAACTGTCTGTTTTGCAGAGGAGGGAATCAGTGAAAGGTATATCCTCCATTGTATGAGTAGAAGGCTGGACTGGGTCTCGTTTCGCTAAAAGGACCAGTCATTTATGACCTGCAGCAGCAGGCAGAATCAAATCTCTCCCCTCTCTCAGGGAGTAATTTCCTATGGTCCCGATGGTTTCCTCATAACCATCCTCCTCTAGCAGCCAGCTGTACTGAACACTGGGGTTTCCAGGAACAGACTGACATATTAACTTTCCCCCTGGGGCCAACTTTCTCCCTGGCATTACATTGTTTTGCAAGTCACCACTGAAAAAAACAATCAGCAGCTTGAAAGAGTTCATTATCATCGCTCATATCTTCTCTCCTTCCCTTCCTCCTCTATCCAGGCGAGGCCCCAGAGTATGCCCCGGGAGAGGACGCCCTGGCGCGGATCCGCCGGCTCATCGCAGAGGGCGGCATGACGGCGGTGGTCCAGCGGGAGCAGAGCACCACCATGGCCTCCATGGGCGGCTTCGGCAACAACATTATCGTCAGCCATCGCATCCACCGCGGCTCCCAGACCTGGGCCGGCGCCGCAGCCAGGCGGCCCAGCAGCAGTGACCCCAACCTGGCCGTCCCCAGCCCCTCTACAGCCTCCCTTTCCACCGCCACCGCCTGCCCCCTCACCATTACCCAGCCACAGCCCTCCCAGACCCAGACCCTGCGTCTCAGCCTGGAGCACCCCTCCGCTCCCACAGAGCCTCGCCCAGGCCCGGTGTGGGGGCCGCCCTTTCTCTCCCAACCACAACCCCCCAGCCTAGCCTCAGGTACGGGGGCTGGGCTCTCAGTGGCCATGGACATCGACAATGTGTTTGAAGTAGCCAGCCGAATGGACAATTCTGAGCCAGGCCCCTCTTCCTCCCTGCTCTTCTCCTCTTCCTCCTCCTCCTCTCGCAGCTCCTACCCTCCCAGCAGTGGCACAAACGGCAACGATAACAATAGCAGCAGCAGCAGCAGAGATGGTTACCGAGGCGACCCTTACAGCAGGTAGAGTCCTGTGAGGCTTGACCATTATTGCCCAAGAGAGGGAGAGAATTCCCCAGAGCAGACAGTGGGTGACTGATGCTAGTGACGATGCTTTGGGCCGAGAGACGGTGTATCAGGAACCCTAAGGGGACTCCGTGTGGCCCTGTCTAGCAGGTGTGCTTCTCCTCAAAGCCTTATCTCACAAATAATGGTTTCTCAGACTCTGCGTGGTCTCCAGCCCTGAACAGAAGGGACATAAGCTCCCCCCCCCCATCAGCTTCAGTGGCATTTTGACCCCCTCTGTATTGGTGTGCACTTACATTTGCACTTAAAATGGACCTTAGCTGTATGATCATTCCATGTCAGAAAGGGCTTTTACTTGAATTGTGAGTTTTTTTCAGTCCTTCTCTTCGCATAGGCGTGACCGATAGACAAGGTTCCTCCATTCAAAGTGCCATGTAAGGGTAATTGTAAAGAACAACAAAAAAAAAGGTGTTTCTTCAGTGCAGCGTTCTGGTGCCATGTGATTGAATTTGACATGAAATAGTGTGCGTTTGCTATATTTTGAAGCCTCTTTTTTTGTATTTGTAATGTGATGATAATGCTTGGCGGGAAAATAATGCTATCGTTGTATGAGTCATGATATGATGCGTGTGGCATGACTAAAGCCATGCCTTTTCAAGAGAGAATCTGCAGCTGCCCGTTTTCATTATAGATTGACTATGTCAGAGGTCCCCCCAAAAGGATCATGGTCATATTACCCATGAGTCCCCAAGTGTACAGAGCATCTGATTTGAAGTTACAAGACTAAGCCCCCTATTGCTTCAAGTTCAAGCAGGATACAGTGAACGTATACAAAATGGTGGATGTAATGTTACAATGTCTAATCGATCATTTCTGACTGTATTGATACTGTGCTATTGTTCTACTGCATGTTTTCAATAATGCTGCATCGTTTTCCGACGAAAAAAGGGAACGCCATCGGCACAAAAGTCTTGCGAAGTATGGACAAATCGGCATTGGGGGAGGAGGGGAAACAAAGAAACTAACTTGCACACCTGTTTGGGGAAGAGTTAGACAGCTCTCTAGACAGGCTTGTGTCATGCTAAGAGGCAGCACCGTCATTCCTCTCCTGTTGCACTACAGTGACTGGGTTTGGTGCCAAGAGGCGTGCGGTGAGGCCTGGGTCAGGATTTGTTTACCATCTGGTCACCCACTCCACAAACCTCCAAACGTGCGATGGTGACCCAGACCAGACCCAGAGCCCCCTGTCGCCTGCACTCACCACTGGTGCTCCAGGGACACCGTGAGAGACGTTACCACTAGGATTCAATGAAACAAAGCTGACTGTTGACTTGAATTACGCCCAGTGACCCTTCCCACAAAGACTCTGAGGAGGAGCGAGCAGGGAGCTAGCTGGATTGGCTCAGCTGTAGCTGTCTGTCAACAGGGAGAGGGTCTTCACTGAGCTTCTTCTTCAAAACCCAGCACCAACACACCCAGCGCTTAAGAAGCACTGAAGTGGAGCTGTTTTGTGTGTGTATGCTTGTCTCTGTGAGTGTGTATGCGTGTGCATTTGTAAGTGTGTGTGTGGGGGGGGGTGTGGGGGGGTTGGCTCTGCAGGGGGAGAAAGGAGAGCAAGTTTGCCTTTTAACTATAATCGTGGGTGGGTGGGTGGGTGGGTGGGTCAGAAGGCTGGTATATGTAGCATCTCTTAGTCAAAGTTACTTTGCCCTAATCATGTGGTTTGTCACTTGGGCACGTCGGGGCGAGAGAGCTTTCGATTATAAACTCAATCTGTCCCCGTGCTGAACCAGGATTTTTTTTTTTAAACGTGAATTCTCGATCACCATTTAGATAGAGTTTTTGTACTGTAATGTCTTCAGGGGTGTGCCTGGCCTATTGTGACAGGCAGAGTGTCCTTAGCATATCATTTCACTAAAGCCCCCTGACCACGTCGGGTGCTTACAGACAAGAAAAATAAATGCCCTGCACAGTATAACTTTTATTTTTAAAACCCATATTGCTTAGCTATTCACATTTTAATCGCTTTGTAGGGTTATTATATTGTTAGAGTTTAAGTTAGGTGGGATTTGTGTGTTTTGTTTTCCGGAGGGGGGGGGGGGGGGTTAAGAAAAATTAACTGACAATGCGACATTGAGAGTACAGGACCTATGAGTAGAGCGCGAATGGAGCAAGTGCCCCGATTGGTTGTTTTTTGAGCTGTGCAGCGAGTCCTGTGTGCGACTCCAAGCAAGCTGTTTGCTGCATGTATGAAAACTGCTACAACTGTCTTTCTGATTAGAAGAAAGTCAAATTGCCTGGCAGGTGAGAAAGAAGCAAACTATCTGAATGCTCCTCCTGGCTTTACTTGATTAATTAAGATTTTTAAAAATGTTTGTCGGCTGTTCATGTGTCTGTCTGTTTTGTGTGAAAAAGCGCTGCCTCCCATATGTCCCTCATCCTGAATGATACGCATACTGTAAGTCCACAACTACACTTTTAACAATGCAAATCAATGGTATACAAACTGTCTCACCTGATATTACAAAACCCCTATATCAAACTATCAAGTTTGTTCACTTCATTGGCTTTTACTTTTCTGTGATGTAATTAAAAAGAGATTTGTTGACATAAAGATACAAAATGTAACAATGTTCTGTGAAGAGATGGCAATCTTATCGGTTCTTAATGGAAAGCTACAATAAGTTGTATAGATATGACCTGCAGTTTTGAACACCTTAAAGGCCCAATGCAGCTGCTTTTATACCCATTTCTGTGTAACAATTAAGTACCTTACTGTAATAGATTTCCATAAAAATTGGCAAAAATATCTTTATAGCAAAAAAACTATTTCTCAAGCAAGAATTTTCCTAGGACTGTCTGGGAATGGTGGGAGGGGAAAACTGAAAACCTGCTGTTATTGGCAGAGAGGTTTGAAACTCTTTTTGTACATTTACATTTTAGTCATTTAGCAGACGCTCTTATCCAGAGCGACTTACAGTTAGTGCATACATTATTTTTTATACCCCCGTGGGAATCGAACCCACAACCCTGGCGTTGCAAACGCCATGCTCTACCAACTGAGCTACATCCCTGCCGGCCATTCCCTCCCCTACCCTGGACAACGCTGGGCCAATTGTGCGCCACCCCACGGGTCTCCCGGTCGCGGCCGGCTACGACAGAGCCTGGATACGAACCAGGATCTCTAGTGACACAGCTAACACTGCGATGCAGTGCCTTAGACCACTGCGCCACTCGGGAGACTAGCGTAATTGGTATATTAAAGCTGCAATAGAAATGTGAGTTATAGATCTGTCATTCTCATTGAAAGCAAGTCTACGAAGCAGTAGATCTGTTCTATGTGCACTATTTGTATGCTTCCTGTTAGTTTCTGTGTCTTTTACTTTCGGTTTTGTACACCAGCTTCAAACAGCTGAAAATACAATATTTTTGGTTATTGAAAATATATTTCACAGTGGTTTAGGTGGTATAATTATTCTCTACACTATGCATTGCTTGTTTTTCACATAAACTGATATTAGGCAAACTATTAGAATTTTTTGCAACCAGGAAATGGCGGAACGATTTCTGCATATTGCACCTTTAACCAATTTACCGCATGGTGATGTCACCATGGAAAGCCGAAACTCCCACCCATGCAAACCTGCTCATTAGAAGGTCCTGTGTAGATTGTATTTTCAACCAGCAACTATCAAGAAATAACACTAATCTTTTTTTTTTACACTTTTACAGTGTTAGTTTTACTATATGATACAAAACACAGGAAAAACTGAATTCTGACTGCACTGGGCCTTTAAGTAACCAAATGTCATCTATACGGTTATTGTATGCTTTACCCACAGGGAACAAATCCTATTCTTAAGGTGAAATATAATTGGTATTCTACATCTCATATATGCAAATAACAGTGGTTTGAGTTCTGTGGAATGGAACAAATGAAAGTGCATTCAACATAGTGGTAGTATAAACTCATTTGATACATGGCACTGCATTTAGACACTAATGCTTTGTCAAACAAATCATACTCCAGACTCCCAATATACATGTTTTTAAATGTTTAGTACAAGTTGGGAATACTGCTGATTAATCTTAATAAGTAGCGTTGTCCCTCTGTACTTACTTGTGTTTGGCAGGTGTTACAGGAGTGGGTCGCAGTTCCGGAGCGACCCACTAGGTGACATCCTCCGACAACCTTAGGCACCTCCTCACTCACAGTCGGGACTAATCATCTGCCTATTGGTGTCACCTGTGGCTATCTGATTCACCTGTGTATTTATGCCCTCACTGCCCTGTGTTCCCTTGCTTAATTTTCTCTGCAAGTTCCTTGATGTCAAGCAGTACGTATCAGTGTCACGTGACGGAGTTACAGGTACTCGAGAAGTGTTCTCCCTGTGTCATTGTGTTTTTTCCAGTCAGAGTTAGTATTTCGTATTGTTTGCTGTCAGCTTGTTTTTTGGAGACCTACGGTGGGGAGAACAAGTATTTGATACACTGCCGATTTTGCAGGAGCCATTCCTTAGTTGCCCTGACTGTGTGTTTTGGGTCGTTGTCATGCTGGAAGACCCAGCCACGACCCATCTTCAATGCTCTTACTGAGGGAAGGAGGTTGTTGGCCAAGATCTCGCGATACATGGCCCCCATCCATCCTCCCCTCAATACGGTGCAGTCGTCCTGTCCCCTTTGCAGAAAAGCATCCCCAAAGAATGATGTTTCCACCTCCATACTTCACGGTTGGGATGATGTTCTTGGGGTTGTACTCATCCTTCTTCCTCCAAACACGGCGAGTGGAGTTTAGACCAAAAAGCTCTATTTTTGTCTCATCAGACCACATGACCTTCTCCCATTCCTCCTCTGGATCATCCAGATGGTCATTGGCAAACTTCAGACAGGCCTGGACATGCGCTGGCTTAAGCAGGGGGACCTTGTGTGCGCTGCAGGATTTTAATCCATGACGGCGTAGTGTGTTACAAATGGTTTTCTTTGAGACTGTGGTTCCAGCTCTCTTCAGGTCATGGACCAGGTCCTGCCGTGTAGTTCTGGGCTGATCCCTCACCTTCCTCATGATCATTGATGCCCCATGAGGTGAGATCTTGCATGGAGCCCCAGACCGAGGGTGATTGACCGTCATCTTGAACTTCTTCCATTTTCTAATAATTGCGCCAACAGTTGTTGCCTTCTCACCAAGCTGCTTGCCTATTGTCCTGTAGCCCATCCCAGCCTTGTGCAGGTCTACAATTGTATCCCTGATGTCCTTACACAGCTCTCTGGTCTTGGCCATTGTGGAGAGGTTGGAGTCTGTTTGATTGAGTGTGTGGACAGGTGTCTTTTATACAAGTAACGAGTTCAAACAGGTGCAGTTAATACAGTTAATGAGTGGAGAACAGGAGGGCTTTTTAAAGAAAAACGTACAGGTCTGTGAGAGCCAGAATTCTTACTGGTTGGTAGGTGATCAAATACTTATGTCATGCAATAAAATGCAAATTAATTACTTAAAAATCATACAATGTGATTTTCTGGATTTTTGTTTTAGATTCCGTCTCTCACAGTTGAAGTGTACCTATGATAAAAATTACAGACCTCTACATGCTTTATAAGTAGGAAAACCTGCAAAATCGGCAGTGTATCAAATACTTGTTCTCCCCACTGTATACTCATTTGTTTTCGTGTATAGTCCGTTGTTTTGTATCCTGGCTTTTGGACAACCAGTAAAGATCCTTGTTTCACCATCCTTGCCTACTGTCTATCCTGCACCGCACCTGGGTCACACCTCACACCAACCCTTACAGGCAGGTAATTCATTTAAACTAGAAATAATAGAGGTCCAAGAATGGATCCTTGTGGAACACCACATTTGATCTCAAGAGGGGAGAGTTTACTCCTTTTAAAGTGACAGATTGCGTTCTTCCTTTTACTTGGGAAGAATGCAGATAAAGGTCCCCCTATACTTATTTGGGATTATTTTATGAATGTCATGTTTTATACTCCATTTCTTTGTGTTGAGGCACCTGTGGGGTCATCTGTGATATGCAGTATGTGTGAAACAGTTTTGCCCAATGATACAATGACAGTGATTATAGCATTGTTCCAATAATGTTTAATGTCAGCCTTGGTTTTTGATTAATTTAGATCTTTCACTACTTTGCCCCTTTAGGGCCACCACATTTCACACAGTCTCTGAGCTGTTTGTGAGCCTTATTTTGTTTTAAACCATGTGAGGCAGAGGCTTTGGCGAAATGGGTTAGTTCATATGAGGGAGAACGGTAGAGGTTTTGCTCAGTGCCTGTATGGTTCACACTAGTTACTCTACTACTTATCCTAAATCTACTAAAACTCTTGGCGCTAGTATGTAGCCAAAAAACAGTGACTGGTTGATTATACTAATCAATTACAAATTATTGGTTTTGTTCCTTTGTTAGTGTACAATAGTCTCTGGTCTTGCCTCATGCTTCCTATGTTTGGAAGGTTGATTTGATATAGATTTGAATGTAGTGGATTTTTGGGTTCTTTTAAGGTAAATTGAGATTACACTAAAAATCCAACAAGTTCTATAGCATATATAGTAACACCAAAGATCCTATGTAATGTTGGCGATGGAAAAAGGCAAATAAACAATAAGAAACTCCACAAAGGCGTTGTTATTAAGGGGTTGTGATACTTGGTTTGTACCATTTGACTGATCTATAGATTGAGTTTATTAGCTTTTGGTAAACATAGGCTATAGATTTATGTATTACCATAGAATAAAAATACTGTGTATTGTATGCAATTCCTTTCCTTTCAAGGATAATCTATTAATTATTATTGATCTATGAATTGATAACAAAAGTTGTTGCTTTGTGAAAATTGTGGATGGGCTATCCATGGTGTCCAAAACTGAAAAGAGGACATTGAAACCATTTATTATAAACCGGGTAGTTTGAGTCCTGGATGCTGATTGGCTGAAACAGCATTCCAGCCGTGTGTATGTCAGACAATATACCACGGGTATGATGCAAAAATACTTGTTTCCTATTCGATTATAATAGCAATAAGGCGGGCACCTCTGGGGTTTGTGTACCGGGCTGCCGGTACACCACTGCTTAGCTGATCCTCATCGTCATAGTGACCATCTCTCAGCTTCATCACCGTCCTGGACAACTTCCTGTTTTTGCTGTCAATCAAAGTCAAATGCCACCTCCAGATGGTCAACAACTACTTCCTGTTCAGCCTGGCGTGTGCTGACTTCATCAAAAGCCTGCTCTCCATGAACCTATACACCCTCTACATGTCAAGGGCTACTGGCCCCTAGTCATCTGTGACCTGTGGTTGGCCTTGGACTACGTGGTCAGCAACGCATCAGTCATGAACCTCCTGATCAACAGCTTCGACCGCTACTTCTGCGTGACCCGGCCTTTAACCTACCCGGCCAGACGGACCACCAGACTGGCTGGGCTGATGATCGCAGCAGCCTGTCTCTGTTCCCCTGGGCTCCAGCCATCCTCTATGGCAGTCCCTTGTGGGCAAACGCATCGTCCCTGACAGGGAGTGCTATATCCAGCTTCTGTCCAACCCCACGGTCACACTGGGAATGACGCTCCCTGCATTCTACCAGCCCGCAGCCATTATGATCGTCCTATACATGCGCATCTCCTTTGCCAGCTGCAGTTGCCACACTGAAGGTGCAGAGTAGAAGAGCGAGGACCTCTAGTGGATGACCAAAACACAGCAGCCTTCTGAGGAGGGGGCACTGTGTCTCAACCCAGACAGACACTGAGCCAAAGAGCAACTGGGCTATTTACATCGAAGCGGAGATCATGTATCTGCCCTAAGCAGGGGATCATCAACTCCCCCCTCTCGAAAGCGCTGAAAGACTGAAAGCAGGCCAATAACGGTGTCATCCCCACATCAGGTGTCCCCCACTCCCCAGACCACTTACCTAGTGAGATAAACCAAGACTGCAGATGTCCAACAGTAGGGTCATGTTCTACCACACAGGGGATAAGAACAGCTCTGCTACCAACGTCTCCCAGTCAAGCTCTATCCATAATGTCTCCAATACAACTAGTCAGCCCAGCTTCAGTAAGACCCAAGCGAAGAGGAGACCGATAGTTGCGGAAAGTGACAAAGACTAATTGTGCTATTCTCCTGGCCTTCATTCTCACCTGGACTCCATACAGCGTAATGGCCATCATTGGCACCTACTGTTACTTCTGCGTTCCAAACAGAGTTTGGACCATGGGCTACTGGCTGTTATATCAATAGCACCGTCACCCCAGCGTGTTACGCACTGTGTAACATCACATTCAGAAAGACCTTTAAGAACCTGCTGAGGTGTCAGTATAGAAACACAAGTGTGAACTGCGGATGGTGTGAACTACTCTATTATAACCCTTTGCCAAACATTTTATTATTTGAGGAAGACCTATTTTATTGATGGACTACTAAGGTAATTGTAAATTTGTAAAATAGTATTTTATAGAACATATTATATTATAGAAAATCAAACAAAACGAATCAAAGCGGCACATTAGTTTCAATGATGGTCCTTTTCCAAGTCAACTCATTTATTGATGTGCAAACTAAGCAAATGTTTCTACTCACTGTATATTGTTGTTAAAAGAATGCGCTTCCTTTTTCTGCTAACAATTATGTCAGCCTTCTGCTTATGTTTGTGATAATGTAATATTGTAGTTAAGATATACTGCCATTTCCTAAAACTATTTTTTGAAATGTGTATTACTGACACTAGATTTTTGAATGTTCACTCAAATCGCTGCAAACGGTGTTGTAGGCCTACGTCAGATCGAATGTAGATTAAACTTGTTGAGAAGAAATGGGCTACAGGTAGGCTGTTATGGTTAACTATGGAACGGCGTTTGAGTCTTTGCGTGTCAAAAAAGATACACGTCAAATAACACTATTTGATGCGTCAAATAAGCTTGGTGACCAATCAGGACCTGAATATGACTCGTCACATAACAAATTAACACGTTCATACATGTTTAGCGTCGTAGCTCTTTTGCGGGACTCTGAAACCACTGTGAATTGAGCCACATTTATTGTACCAGTCACCCTACTATGTGTATTGAACACTATTCCAGAGGAAAAACAATACAACCTGGATGTTTTGGAGTCTGATAACTCTGAAGAGGACGTTGGGGGAAAAAGCTCGGTACTGAGTAGACTGACACCCCATTTAATTGATCCCCAATCCTTAGGTAAGGCTGTACAGTGCAATATGAATGTCAATATGCACAATAGGCTGACTGGGGAGGTGATTTCACACAGTCACAGTCCCGCGATAAGAGCTACAACGCTAATATTTGCGTAAACTCTTCACAGTTGTGTTCTGTGAGTGTCACTTGAGTAGACTGATACCCCATTTCATTGCTCCACGTTCCAACCTTGTTTAACATGATCTAGTCTACATATTGAATGATTTCACGAATTGTAACCTTCTGCGTCACTTTCAAAGAGGTACTTTTATTTGGAAGGCAAACCGCAAATTCCACTATTGTGGCTATTCCTTATTGTGGCTATTTTCACAACACATAACCCGGTCCGGTGAGTTCAGACCCTTCTAGCGACACATTTTCATAAAATCGACTAGCGACTTTTTCTGGTGTTATTGGAGACTTTTGGAGACTCTGACGTGAAAGCACGTATCGTTCTTACTCTTCTCAACGAGCAGCGGGTGCTGCGTGGGCCCCACGCACTCACAGGTGGCCCAGTCCTCGCGCAGCAGTCCCTCCCAGCTGCAGTCAGAGCAGGAGATGTTCACCCCTCCGCATCCAGACTGCAAATGAATCGCGCATGCGGGAAGTTGCCGCTGGCTGATCCCGCCCTGGCTTACATTCAGGGTGGGATGTAAATGTAAAATGTTCTTTGTCTAAAATATATCACTGCACAACAATAAATCACTGCATTTGACTCACACAGCCTCAGTCACTTACTCACCTTGTCCACTGTGTGTGTGCCTCTCTGTGACATAAGCTAAACATCTAGCTGGATAGCTCATCATGTCTCTGTCTAAACTGTACACTCAAAAATACAGAAAGGAGTGGGAATCAAACCCTAAATTCAAAGGCTGGTTGAAGCCGTTTATTGGAGATGATACACGGGCATACTGCCTGTATTGTAGGGCTGATTTCTTTTTTTTTTTTGAGAACTCTGTTTATTAAGTTTTACACACACACAGACAAGACAAAGCAATATAAATAATATACTCAACTAGACAAAAATACAAATAATACATATAAAAAAAAAAAAATTACTTTAAAGATACCGTACTTTAGACAAGTTAAACACACCAGGCAGAAGGCTACAAAAGGTTAAAGGGCAATCTATAGTATAGGGACAGAGCAAACACCTCACCATTGTTCCTGTAAACAGTTAAGGGATGGGGTGGAGAAATGCAACCACTCACAGATAGTCAAGGCCACAGACCAATCATCCACTGGACCAAAAATAAAAAGTTACAATGCTTTAAAATAAAAAATGAATATTGATAATTTTATGTAGGCGTGAACAGAATTAAAAAAATAAAAATAACTGGGAAAAACAAGCTCACACCTTAGTCTCTGCCCGGGCGAGATGAACAAGGCATCCGCAGGTCACAATCAATAAGCACATCAACCGTAGGGCTGATTTCTACGCCAAACTTAGTGATGTAAAAAAACACATGACAACTCAGAAACATGCTCAAAAGGCAAAGCCTTATAACAGTTCCACCCAAAACAAGCTGCCATTTATGGTTAAAAAAATTGACTCTGCAAAAAAGGCTGAGGCCACCATGGCATTAGCTATTGCTGAACACTGTTCCATGCTGGCATGTGATCACATTGGAGAAGCATGTAGAGCTGCTTTCTCAGACTCCACTGCTGCTACCCACTTCAAAATGCACAGGACAAAGTGCACTGAAATGATTAATGGTGTTCTAGCACCATACTTTCTGAAAAAGTTGGTCGCAGATGTGGGTGACCAGTGTTTCAGCCTCCTCCTCGATGAGTCCACGGATGTAAGTGTTTCTAAGTACCTGGGGGTTGTGATAAGGTACTTTAGTGACACCAAGCAGACAATTGTATCAACATTTCTGGGGCTTGTTGAGTTGGAGGGAGGAGATGCCAAATCTATAGCCCGTGCTGTTGTGGTTTTCCTCGAAGTGTTGTCTTAAAAAAGAGAAACTCCTGGGGATATGGACTGACAATGCCTCTGTTATGACGGGGATTAACAATGGGGTCCATAAAGTGCTGAAGGAGGAGTATGGCCTCAAAGATCTGGTTCTTATTCGCTGTGTGTGCACTCTCTGCAGCTTGCTGTAAGTCATGCTTCCAATGACACCATCCCCCGTAGTGTGGAGTACTTGGTACGAGAGACTTATAACTGGTTTTCAGTGTCTCCAAAGCGCAGGGAGGTCTACAAGGCCTTATATGAGACCATCAACTGTGGGGAGAAACCTTTACAGATAACCAAGGTGTGTGCCACACGTTGGCTCTCCATTGAACCCGCGGTTTCATGCATTTTGGACCAGTGGGAGGAGCTTAGGCTGCATTTCGCATTCACCAAGTCCAGTGAACACTGCTACATGGCTGAGGTTTTATACTCCATGTACAGTGATCCTCAAGACATATTTTATCTGACTTTTTTGAAGTCAGTGCTGGGTGAGGTACAGTTGGCCATCAAGGCTTTTGAGGGAGAGCAAGTAGATCCTCTTAAGCTACTTGACAGCTTGGGAAGCCTGATCAAGTCTGTGAGCAGCAGGGTGCTGAATCTACTGGCAAATGTTGATGTATTCAAAGGGCCAATAGATGGATACATCAGTCCCAAACCATACCTTGGTTTCCTTTTTGAGTCAAAGGCAGCTGAGCTCCACCTTGCGCCTGAGGATGAAAACAATGTCCGAAAGCGGTGTGTAGCCTTCACCATCTCCCTCACTAATGAGCTGAGGGTGAGACTGCCGGACAACATCGAAGCATTGCAGTACATGTCAGTTTTCAATGTGGAGGAAACTCTAAAGCACAATAAGAGCCCTGGAGAAATAGAAAAAATAGCCAAGCTCCTTTGCTACTCCCCTGCAGAGATAGACAAGATTGTCCAGCAATGGTGTGCCATCCATCTTAGTAAATGGAATGAGACAAATAACACACTGGGCTTCTGGAGTGAGATTTGGAAGTTCAGGGATGCAGCTGATATCAACCCGTTTCAAGAACTTGCCATGGCTGCTGTGTCTGTGTTGTCCTTGCCACACTCGAATGCTGAAGTCGAGAGAGTATTCAGCCAGATGAGTGGGGTAAAAAGCAAACTTAGAAATCGGATGTCCTTGCAGACCCTTAACTCCATCCTGTACATTCGATATGGACTGAAACTGTCTGGTGAGGCTTGCTATGAGCACCAGCTGCCTGATAATTTTTTGCAGCTTTTTGGCACATCAGCTGCTTACTCATTTATGTCAGCTCCCTCAGTTGCTGAACCTGCCATAGAGAGCCTTGACCAAAATGACTATGACCCACTCTTTCTGTGAGCAGCACAGCCTGTGTGTGTGTGGAGGGGGGTCTGAAAAAAACAAATAATTAAGCTGAATTAGGGCCAGACTAGTTACCATCATTTTCTCACATTGCCACTGACAGTTTTTTCTGTTGTCTCTTTTTGGTCCATTTTAGATTGTATACAAAAAAAAGTTTAAAATGTTAT